CGTCAGGTGATTTTCTGACGAAGACAGGACGTGGGTGGCAAAAGCTGCCAACGCGAACTAAGCAAAAGAGGAGAAATGAAGACGCTGGGTTAGTAAAAGACCAAAAATTTCGTTTGCAAACCATAAGTATAAGAGGAAAAAATAGAAAAGGAAACAAAAAAGGAGAAATAAAAAATAATCGATGTGTCATTATTCCAATCATTTGTACCCCTGATTTTGAAGCGTGATAAGTACCTTGTAGCTTAAGATACAGCATGACGATAAGAGGAAAGAGAAGTAGACTTCTGGGTTAATAAGCCTGTCTCTATTAACCTGAGATAACCTAATCACTCTCCATAACACAAATAGAGAGGTCGAATTAGGTGATGTTTAAATTAAAAATATAATTGGCATAATAGGAGGAGATATGACAATTATTTGACACGCCTTGTCACAAAATGGGATAGTAATGATGATTTATACTTCTGAGAATTCCAATTGACCACTGAATGTTCGTTTGAGTGGAAATTCATCAACTGTCTTAGCATACCTCAGTAGGCCCTCATAATAACAACCTGGGCCCCCACTTTCTCAGGGCCTCCGTCTTTCTTTCCAATTCCCCATTACATCTTTAGTCCTCATCCCCCCCCCTCCCTACCCCTTTCATAGGCATTCATTTCCAGTTGCTTTCCATCCACTTGGATCTGCTTAACTAATTAAAAAGGATCGTTAGTTTCGTCAGAGAATTTCCCCAACTTTAGAAGAATTGGGAATCCAACAGAGCTAAGTTAGAAAACTGTACCGAAAATGCATTTTCCAATCAATTACCTAAGAACAATACCAAATTACTTAGATTTTGAAAACATTAACATGTGTACATCACCAAAATACCCGACTATAGTAGCTCGAAGACAACTCTGCATAAATATTCTCAGTCAGCGGATAAGTAAACGCGATCACACAGAAGTCATTTTCAGATGCATATCTTTCTGCGGATTTAACTATCTTACATCGAAAGTGGAACACTAACCCCCACAGGGTGGTGTTAGACGTTCAGAATGCACACGGGGTAGTGCTAGAGTTAACAAAAAGAAATGGTAGAAACTCCCTCAGAGAATTAATAATTGAGGTAGGTGCAGTGCTTGACTGAGTTGCCTGATCGTTAAATGCCTGACAATATTCAGTCATGCGTCACTCTTATTTGTGCGGCCGTGTTTATACAGCCTCGTGCTTGCCCATAAAAAGACACTATTCTCTTGTCCTATATAAAAAAGTATCAAATCGCTTAACACATTTGGGATGTACTTTCATGTCGACATTATTGTGGGCATAATGGCATTGCTGTGTTTTAACCAAATTCCCATTCAACTAGTACTGTTCCATGCACCGGAAGATGAGAGCTAGAGATACTTTCCTTATACAAACTCAAGATTAAATGGACAATTACTATAAACCAATGTTAACTAAACCTGTTTTTGTTTAAATTAGAAGCTACATGGCATCAGAGCACGCTGAACTGAAAAAGAGCAATGTTTCTGTTTCAAATATAATTCAATCAAATATGCGGACTGCCACAACATTTAATTTCGTTTCCATTTACTGTTCTAATTGAATGCTATTAACATGAGTAACATTCCACTATGTATACGAAGAACTTCGAAGAACAAGCAAACCTTTCCATCCTAAGAACAGGCACATTACCAATATATTACTTAAACAAAATCAAGTAGCAACTAACGAGAGTAGGAGCACAGGCGAAAACAAAGGTTGCACCGCAGTCAAGGAATAGCATTTTTCGAAGATAATACAGCTCCCTTCGTCGAATATTTGCAACTTCTTTGATGAATGAAGGCTCCCAGGCGTAGAGTTTTAAAACCTTTAGGAAAATATGACAATTAAAAGTTATATGGAATGGGTAAAACCAAATTCTACCCTATTTCAATAGAACAGAATGGTGACTGTTAAGGTAAATATAATTTATCAAGAAACAACAAGTCAAAGAAACACTAAAAAGGTCAATAAAAGTCCATCGAAGAGGACGCTAACATTTTTCGCAGAATTTCCGTCCTAACAAAGCAAAACAACAGCACTTTCTACTTCTATTAAGCCTTAATGAACGCCAATTTCCGCTGTTGAGTAATACGCTAAAGTGAGATTTTCAAGTAGATTTATATCCGGAAAAGCATATCGTTTGATGGTGGAAGAGAAGACAAAATAGAGACAGAGCGAGAGAGTGAGAGAATGAATGTTAATTACATACAAAGACTTTTGCGTTTTAAGCTCAACACTGCAGTTAGCAACAAAAAATTGACAATTTAAACGGTTCATTTGTTAAGAATAATAACGTCTTTTCATTGACCTTAGTTCCAAGCTATATACGCGCTATCTCAAATAGCCACCTGATAAAAAATAAAGTCGAATATTTTTAGTACACTTGAGCAAAACTTATGAGCTTCATCCATTGTTCACTACACTTTTCATCATCTGATGTCTAGATCACCAATCGGATGACCAATATGTACGAGCACATTTTCCTTAATCAACGATGAGACATTCACGCCTTTTACCTCCTGAGATCTAAATATTCGAAGCTTCATAAAACTTCATTAGCCGAAGAAATGACAATCTCTATGAAGGCGCTGATTAATTCAGGGGTTACGGGAGTGATTGTATCAAGTAACAGCACTAGTTAATATCGATCAAAGTGAGTAGCAGAGCTGATTTCTAAGCAGAAAGTTCTTCAGGTTAACATTCCACCACTCGAACTAAACTAATGTCTGACCAGTGGAAATATCTTGTATTTTTAGCTATTCGAAAAAACATACATCGAGTTCTTAATTAACTCGAATTAACGCACTCATAAAAGCAGAATTAAATTAACTTATAAAACAGGTAAACTTTTGTCGTAAACTGAAAACGACATAATTATATTAAATGGGGTTGAATATAGGTGGAAATAGTGTGAATAGTAAATATACCCGTATGCCATTGAGAATCTCGCTAATCAACTTGATGCGTTTGTCAGTTGTCTTCAGCTCCTTCTCCTGATAGAAAGAAGAACTTGTGAAGGTAAATTTGACAAGAAGAGGCCAATTCATCATATCATCAACACAAATAGTAGTAGTACCTGAAAGGATTTCGATTTTTTGGCAACCAAGGTGTTGATAGGAATCATAATGAGCAGGATGAGGACACCAGGGAATACCGAGGGGCCAATTTGTTGCCAGAGGAGATAAATGGCCAAACTTACTTGGAAAGGAGCTGACCACAACACATGGAAATTGAGCATTAGCATGTAAAAACGTCCAGCGTCGATTGACATGAGATTTGTGATTTCACCAGTAGTAGACTCTCCACGAGAGGCTGCACTCAGACGAAGGCTCTGGAGGGAAAGCAAAAAAGTGCTAAGTGGTCATAGTGAAAAATACACTAATCCAGCATCGTAGTGACAACTTGGCGTTAAGACGAAAACTAGAAACCCTTATCGAAATTAATGGATCGATTAAAGATAGTGAGCTCAATTTGTGGTCATGGCATCGTTAGAAGCACAAATTCACCAACCGCCTGACTGTATGGACATGTCTATAAATGTGTCCCCGTGATGGAGTACAGGTAAAAACCTTTCCGAGTTCAATATATATGACGTAAATTAATGACGTTAACATAGTAAATGCAAGTTTTATTTATTGAAAAATTTTATCAACAGGAAATCGATTTTCATGCTATTAGAATACCACAGCCACTAAAGTTCAAGAAAATTGTTATGGGTAATGGCTATGCAATGCATATGCCCGATGACATCTCTTTGGACTAAATTGTGCCTTTCAATGACCAACAATGGGTATGTGGCAATATAGTTCGGTAAAATATTTATAGCTAAAATCATGCATAGATAAGAAAGATGAGACTACCTTTTCTTTGCCTAATAAAGGGGACATACTACTCAGAGGTAAATAGTCGTAATAACTCGAAAATTGGCGTATGGATGGCTGAATTACCACACACAGGGCAATTCGATCAAAACGATTAGTGCAAGTGTTCTCAACTTTACATGCACATTCCTAGATTTTTTGCAAATCTGGTGTCATCTCCATCGTCGATTATCAATCACATGGCACCATGAATGCTGGAACCAAAGCAGTCACTGATGCTTGCGGTCAAATATGCTGATGGTCAGTCCACATTATGATATTCTATGACAGATATGAAGGAGTCGGAAATGCGCATTTCAATAACTCATGCTTCGACTCAAAACGATCATGACATTTCCCAAAGCCAACATCCCACCAAATTAATCCCCAACTCATAATTAAATTGAATACTCCAGAAAATTTTATGATCCTCAATACTCAAAACTAATAAATCACCTCCCCAATGAGCGAATTTCGGAAAATTAAAATAGCACTCAGTCATGGTATCGCTAATGTAATTAGTTCTTCAAATATGTATCGATTTTGGTTTTTCCTCAAGGTAGGATGACGACGAGAACTTTATTGTAACCGCGGTTGGTCATTCACAAAGACTTTCAGAACTTACCTCTATTAATTTTACAGAGATTATTCCACTTACTTGATATTGAGAAACCATATTTTATATAAAGGGAAGTTGTTCTCTATAATGCATATCTCTAAGAATACTCAACACTTGAGCACAGAGCAGTGGATTAACATTGGCCAAAAATGGAGATGGTAGAATGTGTGTGTGTTTCTCATAAGAACGCCTCTGAGTCATCTTCAACAAAACCGGATTCAAGTGGAAGGAAATAATCTCATAGCTGAGGAGGGTGTCATTATCTCAAACAGTCAAATATAAGAATTTGATGGAGTATAAGTCTCACCATTGAAAAAATCGTCTTTATTAATGAACTTGGGAGTTTCAACAATTACAATCCACGATTCATTTTTTATGGATGCCTATATTCTGTTATTTCTCAAGAACTTTATTCTCTTTTTGGAAATGTTGAGTCTTCTTTCATTTACCATATCACCAATTCCCACTATAATTGCCTCATTAGAGCCTCTGGAAAAGACAAATTACCACAGGAGTAGGACAATCAGGAGCCATACACTTTAATTATTCTAATTTGGCTTTACACACATACACACTGCTTAATTCCCCCATTAATTTAACCAGAATTAATAGATTGAACCAAGCAAAAAAATTATTCTACTGATGCAAAGGAAAGAGTTTGAACATTCAAGCCATTTAGAAAAGAACGAACAGGTGGGAAACTGATTCATCTGTTGAAGCCCACTGTGTTCGGAAGCCACACATGTCCATATCTATTTCAAATCCGCGATAAAGCCTTAAAAGATTGATTTATTCAAGTAAATTTATTCATTCCAATCCAAAGCAGCAAATTTCTGGACTTCCTTGCGACTGAAGGGGTTCCACATTTTCAGAAGAATTTTTTTTGAAAAGTTAAGAAGGGTGGAAAAGAAGTTAGTGTATAAGGCACAAAGATAGTGATTGACAGTTTGTTGCCAAATTTGAGCCCTTATAATTTGTCTGCAAACAATGGATGACACAATGAATTTGACTTAAATGAAAGTGCGGAACAAATCGATATTTTTATATCCATCTAAATTTTAGGCGCTAAATTGGAAAATTACCTTTGATTTAACTATGATCATATTGGAATTATCCATTTTAATCGACTTCTTTGTCCTCTCTTTTCTGTTATGCGTATGACTCATTCCTCAAACGGTACAGTATTTCGATTTTTCTCACATCATCGAATTCTTATTTAATGAATGTCCCTTTTCTAGTTTTAGCCGGTAGATGTCATTTTACTGTTTTACCTTAATAAAAATTTCCTACAACCACATCAGTTTCCGTGCTTAAACCGGTGAGGAAAAATGGGATCAATTCAAGAAATGCTATTTGATATATCCACTTCACTCATAAGGTAAACGAGGAAAGGCAAGAGAACGTATTATAGGGTCATACCTTCCTATAGACAGCAGAGATAATAGCCGTGCGCATATCCATGCCAACAATATTCTGCGCGCGGAAGTACTGGTGTAGCATGAATGACTGGACGAAAGAAATCATGAACATCAGGATGGCGTAGCAATAGCCATGCCAAGCTGGTTCCTTGGAATCCGGTTTCATAGACTGCAATAGATACCTGAAGGACGAAAAAGGAACAGTAGAGTTTTAGTTTAACTTGGAATAGATGACAGATGGGGATGCACTAATGAACACCAACAAGTAATTACTCTGGCTAATAAAGGTTGGTTGAGGAACAGTCCAATACGACTTTTCCTAGTTGATTAGGCTTGGAATTCCCCTTCATATGACAAGCATGAATTGAGAAAGGAAATTTCTCCAATGGACAAGAAAATTCATTTGCCATCCTCACCCCCTTCCCAAAAGCATTGTACAATTACCCAGAAGATATTATGGTAATTTGTCGTTTAGTCCCAAGGGAAGTACTAATTTAATGAGAAAATAAACTGCGTCTATGCATTTAAATTATATTGCAAAATAAAATAATTGGAAAAATAATCTTGATATAAATCAAATGATTAATGACTGTACTGTGGGGAATTAGGTATTACAAACTTAGATATGTGCAGCATATCAATGTACGACACCCCCCCCCCCCATCACGCCAAAATAGGCCACTTTCAGAAGTAACCTTAATGGTTTAAAGGGAGGAAAAGGATTCTAATAGACGTGCAGTTGAGGCAAAATTGTTAAATCTGAGTCAATCTGGGAATAAGAAAAAGTTGAGAAATTAAAGGGAGAATGAAGAGTGATCTCTATGCTAAGGAATAGCACAAAGGTGTCCACTTTCATACTGTATGAGTCGATAAAGCCGCGACGGAGGAGTCAAGGAAAGGAATGAGTGGAAAAAGTAAAAAAACATGTTTAGAAAGGAGACAGTTTTAAGCACAATCTCACTTAACAAGAGATAGGCCAAATCACCTCCATTCAATCACAGTGTGTCGTGGCTACTTTAGGCCAATTCATCAGCACTTTAAATACCCATCTCAACGGGAATAACAATTGCATAGGCATCTCCCTCCTGTGCTTTCTCCTTATTCTGAAAGTGGAAATGCTTAGACAAAGGTAAAATCTTCAGATAGTTTTGACGCCTATTCCAGTTTCGTACTAAAATATGTGTTTAGAAGTGATTGCACTCAATGATCACATATAACTTTCGATGAAAACTAAAGTTAAGTCTTTCTCCCCTCGGTCTTGGTGGGCCAAGAGGCTTGAGAGGGCTAAGGGAATTTCAAGCTAGATTATCACTTAGAAAGGGGGAGAAAAAAGTGAACCCGTGCTTGATAGAAAATTAATATTCAACTTGTGGTCGAGATCGAGCAGGGGGGTGTTTGGCAGTGCGGTTGAATAAACTAACAAACTTTGGAGTATCCTAAATGAACATGCTATAATGGTAATAGTGGTATCGGTATATTTTGAACCTGTGTGTGGGCTTTGAGGAAATTACTAAGTGAATGTACCTATCTAACTTGATAAATGTGTAATTCTAGGTTTACACACGAATAAACTTACGCCCAGCCAAAAAAGGAAATCAAATTCATTAATATTTGGGTACATAAACAGTGTTCAAGTGGAAGTTCCAACCGAAATTACCAACGTTGAATATCGCGAACTAAGAAGAACACTTCTGGAAACAGAAAATGACAAACCATAAATGTCTATCTCTCCGTGATAGCTATCACCGACCGATCCTATTTATATATAATTTAAAGTGTTGGCTTTAACGAATAGTTCAAATCATGAAAGGCGACAGACTCCATTGAATTTGAATAGATTCAAGCATTCCATTTGTTCATATAGTATCAAAACTAGCCTATTGGCAATTAAGAGTGTGGTTAAGCAAGGTAAAAGCAGAATAGAAGGGGGCCAACCATTAATTCGGTAGACGCAGTCACGGATTGGCAAGATGGCAAACTCAATTTGCTGAGCTAGCCGCTATTATCTTACCGCCCACCCAATTTTATACAGACAGCGATAGAACAAAGAAACCTATAGTGGTTATTTGTATGCTCATAGGTGGCTCAAACCATAAATCACTCTCTCATAAACGACGAATATTTCCTCTGGAGACGTGAGATGATGGAATGAGTCAGCACCATCACATGCGTCACATTGACGGCGATTCGAGGAAAATGTCCACAATATAACCCAGAGGCTAAATTTGAGAACCTGTTTGAGCTCACCTAAATAAGATGATAGAATGTAAATGTGGATTTAAGGAGTACATTAGAGTGACAATGATTGACCACTCATAGTATTTAAATAGCAGTACTAAAGTAGGTCCAAGTAAACCATTAGTTTAGGAGTACGAAACAGGTAAAAATTTTATAAAAATAAGGCAATCGTAAACCCTTCCAAATAGGAGATTCGTCTGTCGGTATTCCTCTTTAAATAAATGTTAACCAGGGTATTTCGCAATTCCATCACTGTATCATTGGATATAAACTTCGCAACATCAGAGTTATAATAGCCACACTACTTGCGTTCCTACGTTTGAAATGCAACAACTTTTACGACTGAAGTAGCAAACTGGAACAAATTATCCTCATTGTATCCAAATACGACTGTTTTACTACTGAATTACGTGTGAAGTATAGTTCAAGGAGTGCCGACCAGTAAAATGTACAAAAATCACTTATAATGCAAACATAGACTTAAGTAGTACACCACAACTCACTTGAAGAAAACGGGACCAGAGAGAAGACAGACATCATGACCAATTTTGAAGAGGCCGGCAATGAAAATACGAAATCCATAGGTACAGGCAAGGGCCTTTATCAAACCACATTTGGATTTCTGGGGCACCCTTCTGTCACATGCCGTTTTTCCTGCTCCAGTGCCATCGGACTTGACTTGTTTGAACTAAAATGTTCAATGATTAACAATAATACCTGTGCCGACCTCGCTAGTAATCTCTCAAATAGGTGGTCGTTTAGACCAATCAGCTAGTTTTGAAAGAGAATGAACTTTAAAGTGGAACTTGTGGAACGGATGAATGTCATTGTCGAGAAAATAAGACTAGTCCCTGTCAATCATCTACTGTTAAAAAGTGTCGATTAAATAAAATAATCCATTTGAACTTGTAATTCTCGCAACAAGGAATGCTCTTTTACAAAACACAATTACGGTGTAGTTGTATCGTCCATCTAACAATAAATGATGGTATATGATTAGAGACTTGCTATCATGTTTTGGGCGTTTTTCTGAACAGCAAACTGATCAACTGGAAGGTTTCAGAACAAGAAATTAGTAGGTGTTATACAAAAAAAGGCTGCTGATTTTCTACTACAGAAATTCCAGGCTCCACTCATTACTTATTGATTTTTCCCAAAATGGTTTTGGAGTTGAGCAATGGTGCTTTAAACACAATCGCTCATTTTCTCAATTCGAATTCCATCTCATATTTGAAGGTGGTTTTGTGCTAGATTAATATCCAGAATGCTTAGTAAAAAGGAATGGTAATAACTGCCTGGGTTGCTACATAAACATCGATGGATGACCCCTGTCGACGCTAAGGTGGTTTAATAATCAAAAGTTATGATTTAAATATGAGCTGTGGGTATCGAAAGGCTAGAAAACAATGAGCAGATAATTCAACCTTGTTAGAACTCCTTTTCCGCTCTTTTCCACCATCTAATTTACCTACAAAAGCACCGAGGTGTGATTTTTTCACCCTAAGGTGTTCAAAACACAAAATTTTAAATGATGAAATCAGATCATGACAGTAAATCACCCTATTCAAGGTTTCACCACCGTCACCTACCCATTACTAATTAATTCGAAAGTAACTATGGAAATTCAAATCAAGTAGACAGTGCACTATTTACCTGAATTTAAATACTTTTTTCCATTTGGCAGTGATGATGTTTTATCGTATCTAATTTAAAAATGCAGAGAAGCGCTTCCTAGAGCACACCCAAACACACCAAAACGAAAAAAATACTTCAGATTTAAGTACAAAATAATTAAAAACACAATATTTGGCCAATACAAACGAACGGTTTTGTAAAGCAAAAATTTTGCAATGACGCCTACCACTAAATCTTCTAAATGTGCAAATTCCAGATCAGTGAAATCTTCCCCAAGAGGGATGATTTGAACTCCTTAAATGACCAATTGGAAAATCCCACTGGAAAGTCCTTTTTTATGAATCCTTTGCTTAAGACTGAAATAGCCCAATACACCTTTCCCTCAACTTCAGTAAATACCAGTTCTAAAGCGACATACTCAATTTCCACAATCGTATCTTCGATTTAAAGACAAAGAAGCGAAAATTGGGTTATGTGGAAGGAAAATACTAGGCGAGAGACCGAAAACTTTAAGCTCCAACGCATTATATATTGCATAATTAATTCCGACAATCAAGGTAAAATATTAATCAGAGCTATTCAGGCACCAAGTAATTCATTTGAAAGGTCACCAGTTTATAATGACAATTGTTAGCCAGTTTCAAAATTTGGACATTTGAAAGCCAGGGTGATAAGATTCTCCACATACCGACTGAACAAAATGAAGTTTCGAATTTGAAAGGAAGGAAGAAAGGAAAGGTGTGAAGGGAAAATAATGTGGCCATAAGTTTCAATGTGAAGTCCAAAAGTATAACACTAGTGAGAATTAAATACAAAGCGACCTTCTCGAGCAAAGAAATCAGGACAACTTTGTTCAATATATTTACAGTGAGGCGCATCTTGAATGTTTGCAAGGCCATCAATTCCCATCAAAATTCGACTAGGGTCTCTGAAACTGCTGGCTGAGATGTCCACTATACTCATGTCCTGCTTAATGACACCTCCAGTGACCAATTCACAATGACACTATAATTTGATATGACCATGCACACTCAATGGAAACTCATATAAAATTTACGTTTCGCCAAAAATATTCTCCCACGCCTCTCCTTTTGATGAAAATAGCAACGTAGACGTTGTGACAATTATTGGAAACTGTATAGAAATAGTAAAAATACTTGTTCTTATTTTCAATCGACCCAGGGGGAAATTCTGGAAGAACAAATATGACCTAATTCTAAAACCTTTTTGCCAGTTTTAATGACCAAATATTTGTTAAAACGTTTTCAAATTTATATTCTCCATGAACGGGATAATTAGCTCAAACGGCTTTATGATGATAGTTCGCTAAGCGTTTTTGTGAAAATGACTTATATCCAAAGGTAGGCATTTTGCAATGAGAGAGGAAAATGGACAATTCGTGCCCTTTAAAGCTAGTACACATTGTTGAAATAAAAAGGCCACCATTCATCTAAGAGAGGTAATAACACCGGCGCCTCTGCTAATTCTGCCATAATTGAAATATGGAAGAGTGCACTTTTAAGTAGAGATTGCAGAAACAAAATTACATTTTCATATTAACTTGCAACTTATGAATAAGAAATACATTTCATCACTTTTCAGGCTTTATATGAATGGGCATAAGATTCGTGAGTCCTGTTAAGCCTACAAGAATAGAGGATTAGAGAGATAACCTACCGAGTTGGAGCTAAGGAGTCCAGCTTCAACATCACCGACACTGGAGCCTTTCCTAGAAGACGGTGAAGGTTTGGATTTTGAAGAACGTGCAGAAATGCGGAATTGGATGTTCGGAAGAAGATTTGTAGCTGAAAGATAAAACATAGGCAATACAAAAAATAAACGTAGATGACGTATTCTTAAAGATACTTCTTATGCCACCATTTGCCAATCGCGTGTCACCAACATACTTTCGAATAACACATACACTTAAAGACATCTTTCGAAGTATTAAATAAAATGAAAAGCCGCTCATAACATGCGAAATGAACTAGGGCAAAGTTTACAGTAATTGAATATAGCAAGTGCTAAAGGAAAATGACGAGACTCACACACAGATGAGGAAGCCTTCTTTCCAATATCCGGCACTCCTGACATAGTTCTTGAACGCTTCTCAGCCTTGCCTTTGCCACCTCCAACACCCTCAACATAGGCACTGAAATCTCCAAATGTGCTTCTACGGACAATAGTCTCATCTGAAATTGTACTGTTGCCTGTATTGAGATTGGCATCTGCGATTCCCGATTTCTGATCATCTGAAGTGCTTGATGCAGTGTCTTGTGCTGCCCAATTGATTGAGAACTGCGAATTAGCAGTGTGAGGTCTAAAATCGATTGTTTTCAGTGTTCTCAAAAGCATTATTCATGATTAATACCCCCCCCTACCCAACTATCGTTTTCTTGCTTCCATACAATTAGATTTTCTATCTTATTGAATGGACCTTGGTTTTCCTTTCAATCGGAGTGCTTTGGGCTTCATAAATCGTCAACCAAGTAACAATTTGAAGCATTAACTATCTGCAAAAAAACAAATTGCAAGGTATAGGAAACTTCATTGCTTCCCATTTGTTACCTGTCTGTCTCGAGTAGCAACCACCAAGGTGTTGCCTAATTAAGAGATAAAGAACAAAGAAGTACGTTAGACGCTCCTATTTAACGATTTCATGAATAGAATCGACAACCTTCAGTTACCTCCTGCTGGGCGACTTTATTCCTTTAACATCAAAAGCTCATTTCTATTATAGGTGAATGCTTTCGAACACTAAACCCTGGCTCATGAGTGATACCCTCAAATTTATCTGATGAACAACTCGCAACTTGCACCTCCTTCTTTTCCTCTTTACTGTATTTCAACCAATACGCAAAGAGATCAATGATTATCTCTCATTGTGAAGTTTGCAATTTGTAATCCGCAAACAAAGGACAATAATAAATGAATTTAGTCATTCAAACCCTTTCGCCAACTTATATGAGTCCAGCGACCATGATTTCGAAGCATTCCACCATATCGGCACATAATTTTGCCCTGTTCCCATTGACACAATCAGAATTTCTATTTGTTATTCAGAGGAACAAAAAATGAGAAGTCAGTAAGCTCCTTTTTACAATCCTGGTTCCGATCGTTCAGTTCTCGATCACTTCCCAAATCGTAATTTCTCTTCCCACTGTCATTTATTCCCCTCTCACATTCCAATACATAAGTGATCCAACTCAATCCTCCATTCTGAACTGTTCTTTTCTGTTTACCTTTAGGAAAGGGAACCTAACTTATGTCGGTCTGGATCCAAAATTATTCTTAGAAATGAGATTAATGGTTAGTACTAGTTAATCCACGCAGTGAACTTCAAAGTGCTCATAGTATCCAACGAACTTACCCATCTAATTCTCCGGATATGTCCACATGAAGGTGCTTATAGACATTGCGCAGGAAGGCTGGAACTACATTAGCTGCGAGGTTCTCTGAATCCACAGCCCACAGATGACCCAATTGCAAGGTATTTCGATAACCAGTTATGATCAATCTAAGAAAATAAAGATAAAAAATTGAGAATACGTCATAGATATGACGAATTAGGCAACAACTTTTTCAAGCGTGACCGCAATTTAGACCCAGAGGAATACATGAGTGTATTTATGTTGCACATTTAGGACTCACTTTGTAACCCAAAAGAAGGTCACTCTTGAAGGAAATGAGACGTATTTTTCAGGAGAGAGTGACTAAAAGGAAAATAGAAGGAGTAAACGATTCAAGAAAACTAATTTCTCAATTAAAAAACATCAATTGCAAATGAAATATAAATCAATTAAGTAAAAATGGATAAAACTCTGACTTAATAAATATTGATTACCTTGGCAGTCACCTCAGTGTCACAAGACAACAGACAAGGACAGCCTGTTAAGTGCTCAAATGAACTCCATGAATATGTGAATCTACTTCT